AAGTGGGGGGGGTGGGGGCAAATAGCAATGGTAAAATTAGTTTCCATAATTGCAAGCTATAGAGCAAATTGGAAGGGAAATCTCTTCAAACCGAAACCTTTGAAGGGAAGAATGCATCACAAAATAGGTACAGCTACTTTTAAATTGCTTTTATTTTCATTTTAAGATGATAAAGACCCTTACTGCAGCTACTAACTTCAATGTAAAAAAAAAAACAACCAACCAACTGGACTGAAAAATAACTGCAATTCCCAGTAGTTTACTGTGGGTGGAAATAAGAGTTTGGTATTGTCTAGAATAAGAACTATAATTACCGTACTTGGAAACAGCAGTCATTAATATTCAGAAGGTGTGCTCAGGGCTGAATTGGAGCTTTGGGGTTGTTTTTTTTTTCCTTGGAAGTAGGAGCATGTATTTATAACTTTAAAGAGAAATGTATAATCTTCACCCATAGTTACTAGACTAGAAGTAGTAAAATTTAGTAGATCTATGTATTTCATTTTACCTACTGTCCAAGTTGGTGTATGGGTTTTAAAAGTTGCATGTTTTCTCTGGAAAAAATCCTTTCTATTTGAAAGAAGTATTTGTTTCCAGCACACATTTATGTTCAGAAGAGAAATGATCATAAAGATCCCGATCAGCTCTGTTACAGTTTGCCTTCATGATAGAACATGACGGCTGAGATCAGTAATCTGGCAGGATCAATTCTGTCTGATTAATTTAAGCAGACGCTGAAACACTGTGCTGCTTTAACAGCAAGTTGTTTTCTCGAAGGAAAGGCTCCCTGGCTGTAAGCTTTATATTTATTTTTACACTAGTGCAACGTACAGGTAATTGTCTACTTCCATGTGAACATACCCACAGCAGACCCAAAGCCACCTGCCTTTGATATCTAATGTAGGCATCATTATCATCCATATGACTTCTCACTATAAGGTGAGACAGTCCTTTAAGCAAAACTCAGATTTCCGTGCATGTGTGTAGCTCACCAGCCTGAAGGAATAAGCACCTTCATTATCTGATGTGGGTACTATAATTAACACCTAAGCCTGCTATAACCAGGAGTTCAGCTGAAAGTTTCTGGGGAGAGCAGAGCTGGGGCAGACTGGAGGAAAGCTGGTGAGGCAGCTTCTGCTCGGTCACTCTCTGAGGCTCCCCAGGACAGGTCAGACCGAGAAATCTCTGGAGAGCGGTCACCTTTTAAGAAGATGCCCTTGGCAAAGGGGAAGGTTGCCCTATTTTTTATTTTCTCAACAAGCGTGGGCTGACGTGGGGTTTGGGCAGGAAGGGGAGGGGGTGACAGGCAGACTGAGGCAGCAATGGGGGAGCAATGTCAAATTGAGAAGGGTACCAATGTACTTGTGGTACTTGGCTGTCCTCTTCTGCGCAGACTATGTAGTGCCTAAAAGGGAGTGCCCTATATCTAAGGAGACAGACTCTTACTGGATCATAAAATAATGATGAGGTTTGGCCCTGTTTTTTTAATTCTTAAGCCATCAGTCACCTGTACAGGGGAAAACTAGGCTGATTCTTTTAGATGTTTTTAACATGGCTTCTATTTTTATTCTTACAGTTTTTGCCTGCAGTTGATTGCAGGCTCTAATAGAGGCCATGTTTTGAAAGCCTGTCTGTAAAACCAGGGGATCATCATATGCTTTAGTGCCTTAATACTTCTGAGCAACAGCCACTGCTCGAAAGCCACGTTACGAGAAAATAGGAGTCTGAACCACTGCTTGGACCGTTTTGTGAGATGGCATTAATACCCTCTCGGTCTCTACAAGGCTTTTCTTTTCCTTCAGTTAGATTCATGGTGGCTGATTTGACTTTCTTCCAAACTACCTGGGGGGATGCTGATAGTGAAGGAAAGGGTTTTCAGAACTGATAGCTTTGAATTCTCAGAACTAGTAATTCAGCCGCTCATAAAGGGAACGTGAAGAGTGCCATTTTCACTGCGTGTGTAAACACGGGGCTGAGATACTGCAACAGTGGGACAGAAAGAGCAGTAAACCTGGTAGGCTCAGGGTCCTGTTGCAAAAGCCATGAAAGCAAGAAGGATTCCCATCTCCTTGTGCCTTCCTCTGCTTCCCAGTTCACAACTCGGAACAGGACAAAGGCACAGAAAAGAAGTCGAAGCACTACATTCAAAACTTGAAATGGGAGTCTTTCAGGGGTGTTATCGTGAGTAGCAAATACCCGAGCAGATCAAACTTTGTCTTGTTCGCTTGCTTTAACATGCTGTGCATTAAAACTTGTAGAGTTCTCCATGACTGCTTCTGCTGTTCAACATCCACATTTCTCTGTGGATATTCAGAAAGGAACTTACTAGGTCAGAACCAGTGGTTTGTTAGCTGTACTGCAAATCCCACTTTTCCTCTCTTGTCCTTAAAATCATGGATTTTGCTTATAGTTAAGTGATGGAGATGGGGAGTCCTAGGAGTTGCATGTGCTCAGTCTCCTGATCTGTGTTATATTCTCACACAGCAGGTTATTTAATCTAAGCTTTGGAAATGTACACAGCCATTTGTTTACTGTATTTGCATTCAGTAATCAAGCCTTAATGCATCAGTCCAAAGATACAAATAAATATTGTGAAAGATTGGCAGAGCTATTAATGGGAAATGTAAATTCAAACTGTATCGAGAAATGTGTATGTACCAGTAGAATGGCTTATAGTCAACAGTGATGCAGTTCATGTCTATTAAAATTCAGGGAACATCTGTTGTAATAAATCCAGCATCATCACTCTAGCTGACTAGGCACTTAGTGCTTGGACACACAGTAATTCTTCGGTGGACAATGTGTAAAATTGCGACCTAGTGATACTGCAAATTGTAACAGAGGCTGGGACTTCATAACCCTCTACAAATTATATGTATCTCTCTCTGACTTAATTCTATGGTTTAGGTGTATATGGCTAAAATCTCTTTGAAGTCTTCAAGTTACATATGCAGAGTGGGGGAGTGAAAGAGACGAACGTGATTGCAGAGTTTGGTGTTCAGCAGAAAAGCACGGGTAGGATGAGATCCTGGTTTTCTTACTTTGACTCTGTTGCAGGTGGAGAGGGAGAAGGCCATTCTCCTGGCCAACCTGCAGGAGTCTCAGACACAGCTGGAGCACACCAAGGGAGCCCTGACCGAGCAACACGAGCGAGTCCACAGGCTCACGGAGCACGTCAACGCCATGAGGGGACTGCAGAGCAACAAGGAGCTGAAAGCTGAGCTTGACTGTGAGAAGGGCCGAGACACCGGTGAGGAAGCACACGACTATGAAGTGGACATCAATGGCTTGGAGATCCTAGAATGTAAATACAAAGTAGCTGTTACTGAGGTGATAGACCTTAAAGCAGAAATCAAAGCCTTAAAGGAGAAATATAATAAATACGTGGAAAACTACACTGAAGAGAAGGCCAAATATGAGAGCAGAATCCAGACGTACGATGAACAGGTGACAAACCTGGAGAAGTCGACCAAGGAAAGCCAGGAAAAAATGGTCCACATGGAAAAGGAATTGCAAAGGATGACAAGCATAGCAAATGAAAACCATAATACCCTCAACACCGCCCAGGATGAGCTGGTGACGTTTAGCGAGGAGCTTGCTCAGCTCTACCATCACGTCTGCCTGTGCAACAACGAGACACCAAACAGGGTCATGTTGGACTATTACAGGCAAAGCAGAGTCACCCGCAGCGGGAGCCTGAAAGGACCGGACGACCCTCGAGGTCTCCTTTCCCCGCGGCTCGCCAGAAGGGGGGTGGCGTCCCCCGTAGAAGCCAGGACCCCGACTGAGCAGGTGACGAAAGAGGCCACGGAGCCTGGCAAGGAACAGAGCCCGACAAAAACACCTACCATTTCTCCTGTCATCACAGCACCTCCTTCCTCCCCCGTCTCCGATAGCAGTGACATCCGCAAAGAGCCGATGAACATCTACAACCTCAATGCCATAATAAGGGACCAAATCAAGCACTTGCAGAAGGCTGTCGATCGGTCGCTGCAGCTGTCACGCCAGCGTGCTGCAGCTCGGGAGCTGGCGCCCATGATCGACAAAGACAAGGAGGCCTTAATGGAAGAGATACTGAAACTGAAATCACTCCTGAGTACGAAGCGGGAGCAGATCGCTACCCTGAGAGCAGTGCTGAAAGCCAATAAGCAGGTAAGATGCCAACGAAGCAGTCGGTCGGGAATGCCTGTTATTTCTACAGGTCACTTACAAGCTTTCCCAGGAGTCCTTTGGAGGAGAGATTTTACTCACAGGCTATTTAGTCTCTCACTCAATCATGGTGAGGGCAGACCTTTCTTCCCTCCCTCCACACCTCCTCTTCAAGATCTTTAGCTCTGCTTTTCTCAGCACCTACCATTCACTGAGGACACAGGCAGAAGAGCCTTTCCTGTGCAGCGAGAGAAAAGCCGAGGGACAGGGAGGGATCAGCTACCACCCAGCCTCATGCACGGGCATGTTGCTATCATTATTGCGCAACAAAAAAGATTGCCAACATTGGAAAACAAAACAGAGTGTGCATGGAGAGGCTCTCAGAGGTGTGCTGACCCCTCGCCAGGGCAGGTACCGCTGGAGTGGTGGGGAAGACAAACGTAGGGGAGACCACCTGGGCCAGCACCTCAGCAGCTGCGGGTGGCCCAGGTGGTGGGGTGTAGGAGACCAGATGGAGCAAACAACCTGTTGCATTCTTCTTGGCTCTTGGTAACACTACCCAGGCTGCAAAACTTGAATGCCCCCCAGTAAATTTAAGAGGGTTAAAAATAGATGCCACAAAAGCTAAAGCATGCCTCAGGAAGAGAATGGCAGATGTGAAAGTGTGACCAGTGGCTTTGGACCATACAGAAGCTGGGCAATTCTGTGATAAGACAGCAGGTGAAATGCAGAGTTATTTTGTAGTTGGAATTTTTTTTAAATTATTTTTCTTTTCATTCAGAAATAACGTCTCCTGCTATTGTAATATTTTTCATCCCTTAAGAAACAAAATCAGGGTTTTCTTTTGTTTTTTTAACAACAGGGACAACATCACTACATGACTAAGCTGACTGAAACAGTAACCGCAATCTTTTATTTTGAGAAGGATTTGCTATAAAGTTATATTTTAAGACAATAAACAATTTAAAATTATTATTTTGAAAATTTTCACAGCTTAAAAAAACCCATCAACCCACTTTATTTTTGATGTTGCATCAATGCAAATAAGCTGAGAATTATATTTTTTATTATGCATTTTATATCAAACACCAAAAGACGACCATGTAACAGCCTGTTTTTAGAGGACTGTCATTTTTTTTGCACAGTATATCCTCCCAACCCCTTTGTAGCCATTAGGTTCCAGGTCTGCAAGCACTTAAAAAAGTTAAATTTAAACATGCAAATAGTTTTATTTACTTCAGTGCATGTCCTTATGTGCAGAATTAAGTCTGAATGGAAGAGGCTGCAGCGGCAGAGTCATCGTTTCAGATAGATGAGAAAAGTGCCAGGCAAAAAGCAGCGCAGTGATCACCACATGGGGTCATGAATCCTAGTTAACAACCTAGGATACTGTTATCTGATGACAGTGATGGGATTTCAGTGTTAAAATTCCCAGTAGTCAAGCAGTCTGAAGTTACAGTTTCAATCTGTAACTGCATTTCTAGAGTACTAGGGATTTTTAAATTGCAGTAATATTTCAGTAAACATTGAGTCTTTTATAACATTCCCCCCATTACAACATGTGTTAAATATTAATTCAAGTAATTAAATACCATCTCTAGCTAAGCAATAACAGCTCTGAGCAATTATATGTGGATTTTCCATGTAATTAAAATGTAATTAAGATGTAATTGAGGTATATGGGTTTAGATTCCAAATTAAAGATTTTTTCCATTAGCATAGAGCTATCATTTACTTTTGATACCACCAGAGAATCTAGCTCAGTCTTGCACTTTTATTGCTGTCAGAAATAAAGCATCATCCTAAAGCATGCTCACTGAAATGGGAGAGATAGATTTGCTGAGTAAGGAGGTGCTATTAATTAAACTTTTATTTATTGGATAGCAGCATAGCTATTGGTAACTGTATAACTGGGTATAGAATCTTGCAATACTGTTCATGCAAACCTTAATATCAACATCCTCAAACTTTCAAATTAAAAGACATAAGGATATAAAAGGATAGCAGAAATTTAAAGTTAGGGGGGAGGGAAGGAGTTTTATTATGTGCTAGTAGTACTGCCAGCCTCAAGTGATGGGTATATCCTAGGACCCAAAGCACAGCTCATGTTCAAAAAACAGGAGTCAAGATTCATCCCCTTGAGTTCTTTCCCTCCAAAACCAGAAGTTTTTAAGCAGCAATAGGCTGGGGATTTTTTTTCCCCTGTGGGTTTCAGTGTAGATGAGCCTACAAAGGATATCTGGTTCAGTTTTTCCACATTTGCTCAAGAACCACAAGAGCTAGAATTTTGATTTTTTTTTTTTCCCCTCCAAAAACCTTCCTCAAGCCTTGACGTTAACACAAAATTATATATTTTCATCCCTTACATCGTATGGCAGGACACCGCTGGAGCCTGAGGTAGCAGGGGAGAGCGGCGGCAGCCCCTGTGAGAAGGAAGCCTGCAGCTGGTCGTCCTGCTTTGTAGAAATGCTATCACAAAAACCCCTCTGTATTGTAGGCACTCCAAGCACAGACGCTTCAGGTGAAGCTTTTTTGGTTGAAATAACATTGGAAAGCAAGATGAGCGCAATCAAATGCACTGTAAGAAAGGCAAGACCCGGCCTTCATTGAGCATCTCGCCATTCGGATCCAAGGGGAGACCCCGGGTCTCTTGTTTCGGGTGTAGGTCAGTAGTGAAGTCACACCCCTAACTAGGGAAGCACGGGTGCGCTCTAGTGACCCCCAGAAGTATTGCAACATGCTGTTAAAAGCGGAATTGTACCGTTTTCCTGGCAGTACGCTTTCTCGCAGTGTGCTGACATCCTCTGCTATCCAGGCACACAGTGGCAAATGGTTCATCGGAAGCGAAAAAGCGCAGAGTTTCTGCCTCCCGACCCGAATTGTGTTCACGTCTCTTCACAGTAACTTTCCCAACTGCAGGACATCCCTGAGGGTGTCTCTGTTTCTGTCTTCTCCCGCTGCAGTGGGCCTGGTACTCCAGCAGTGCACAATACAATGAATTTCTGTTTGAACCTGACAAGCTGTTGCCTAGTTAAAGCATTTGGCAATATCTGATGATCCTTCTTTTTAGTCTAGGTGTATTTTCTGTAGTAATATTTTCAAATATGCGTTAAGCATTAGACTGGGCTGCAAACAGGCTACACAAAACTCTATAATACAAAAAGAGAGGGTAAACTTTGCTCTAAGAAGCTGCAAACCTAAGCCCAGGAAAATAGATTATTAAATCAATTGCTCAAAATAGCAAGGCACATATATCTTTCTAGCTCACTTGCTTACCTTGTCTTGATTTATGTATCCATTTATCCATAGCCATAATTGGTGTCAGCACCAGTTCTGTGGAGCAAACCCAAGCAGCATTAGCATTAACAAGTAGCATAAATTGTAAAGTAATATCAAATTAATGATATAATAACTTTTAGGACCGGTTCAATAATGGTTTTGATTTTGGTTTCTAATAACATTCAGAAAGCAGAGCTGCCTATGAGGGGGATTTAATATCCTGAAGTTCTGATTGAAAAATGATCGGTTGTTCTCATAGGTAAATGGTTCGATGGGAAGGAGTTGAGTCAGCAAGACCTTCGCAACTGTATTGGCAGTAACTACATCTCCAGCTCCTGTAACTGAGATACCCATAAAAGTCCTTCGGAAAAAATAACTTGATAATCCAGACATATAGTACCTTATCTATAAACAAGTGCCCTGATGTTATAAAGACAGAATACAGTAAAATTTCTCTGGGAAAGTGAGGCTGGCTGGAAAGATCCAGTACCACCTACAATTTCTGCACTAAAATAACAGGCTACTGTTCTGCTTTCTTGTGTGAAACAATAAAGTCCTTACCACTGTAGGAATTAATATTCTTTCAGTAACATTTTTTTTTACTTGGTTTGCTTCTCAGACTGGTAATATAAAGTAAATGGGATATGAAGTCATCTTAGAATGCAAATATATAGAGAAAATGGGATTTATTCACGGCTATCAGGATTAAGGTGGCAACCTTTAGGCAGCTGGATTTGGGCATTTCTTCTGTAATGATAAGAAGAGGGATGAAAAGGACGTTGTGAGTGCTGGCAGTGCCTTGGGTCCGGGGGCTCGGTGTGTGCTCACCTCAGCCTGTGCAGCTACGTGGCTGGGTTTGGGGAACAGGGGGGCTGCGCTCTGCGTGCCCCAGCTCTCTTCCTGGACAGTGTTTCGTACCCTGCAGGTGTTGGAGCTCTCTGCTCCCTCCCGGTCTTGCTGTCAGCTCCAGGCCATGTCCTCTGCACAGCAAGAGCAATGTGCTCAGCGAGCCGTTAACCCTGTGTCGCCAGGCGGCTCGCTGAGGGGGTAGCTAGTGTGTTCGCCCGGTTCCTCAGCATGATGGGCCCCCCCTGCCCTGGCCAGGAGTGTCGTTACCCCCTCTCCTGTCTTATTGCGTTATTTACTTCACTGAAGAGTAGTCACACATTTTTCTCCATTTTCCTCTTTTTCTTGTGCTCTCCATTTCCATGTGTGTTGCTCAGAAGTTGCATTTTTATTTGGAGCAAAGTTTCTCTAACGCAGTTCTGTAGTTAACCACAACTTAAAATCAAATGCTTCAGAAAGAGTTGGTAAAAAAAAAAGCCAGGTCCTGCGCACCTACTCCCTTCTGGCACCCACTACTCAGGGATGCAGACTTTTATTTGCCCCATCCTTCCTTTCAGAACACTCTCCAAATGCGCCGTTCGCCCCAGGTTATTAAAAACTAGATTATCCCACAGAACTGGTTTCAGGTAAAACCACATATATATGGCTCAGTGGGTACAATTTTGGAGGCTGGCTGAGAGGGGGAACAAATAGAAATAATATAGACTAGAGCTGGTGCTGGAGGAAGAGTAACATGAAGCTATGGCTTCAGTTCCTTTTGTCCCTGTTACTCTTGGCACAGTCTAGCAGTATAGGTGCTGAGGTGACCAGACACATAGGTATCTCTGGAAGATGGAGTCCAAGTTCCCCTTCTCCCCTCAGCCCCACTCCCCATCCACATTCTGGCTTCAGGGTGATTCAGGAGAGTTTTCTGCCTCTTCAGGCTCCCCAACTGGCTCACAGTAAGCACAGAAGAAAACCGCCAGACGTGCCAAGGGTAGGGACAGGGAAAGGTGGGGTAATTATTCTTTTGGGGGCAGCTAGCCAATACAGATTGTCTTGGCTGCATTGTAAAATGTCATCCTTGGAGCCGAGGAGTCTGACAGCAATCGGCTTCAGTCAGCATCCAGGTCCCAAAGCGATGAGCTGTAGGTCCAGGTCCTGCGTGCACCGTCCGGTGCCCACCGCCTCGTACAAGGACCCCTTGAGCGTGCTGTGCCGCCTGCTAGAGCGATGCACCGCTGCTCTGCTGGCCCTGGCTGCAGGTTTCTAACAGAAGCTACCCTTGCTTGCTTCCCCTTTCTTTCTCTTGTCTATTAAAAACACATTTTTTATAGTTTTATTTGTTTCTCTAGCAGAGCACTTGTGGCCGTTCGTTCTTCACCTTAGGAGACTTTAAGAAGGGGGACTCTTGACAGCCTGCGGACGAGCGTGTTCAAAAGCTTGTCTGGTGTGTGGAGAGCCACCAGGCACTTCCAATAGGTTTTTCCAATTTATGCTTTATTGTCTATGTGTAGTTCTATGGAAAATTCTAACAGGAAGAAAAAAAGGTTTGAAGATTTGACACAGTCCTTCCTCTGTTACCTTTATTCAAAAGCTGAAATATATTTCTAAGTTATTTTTCATCCCATAGTGTTACATGTCATTTAACTTACCCTGACATCCAGACTAAAATGTAGGGATCACAATGATCCGTCTGATCATTCTGCACAGTTTCAGTGATGTGTAAATTATTTGGTTTACATGGAATATGCAATCTCACTGCTGAAATAATTTAAGTCTATCATTAGGTGGCAAATATCTCTAAATAATTTTCATTCTAAACCAAAGGAAAATCTTTACATAGATTCTGTATTCGAAGATCAGGTATGATAGGTTAAGGGACATGGGGTTGTATTTCTCTTACAAAGCATGCATCTGATTTCCTGCCTTAGGGGCAAAGCAGAACTCAGTTTGAGCTACAGAGTCTACCTGTGCTCTCATAAATCACTTCAGTGACCTGAAAATTCTTAAATAAATCTGATTAAATCATATCTGTTAAATAGGAATTTGTTCCCTGATTCACTATTTCCTAGATTTCTCTTCAAAAAAGTAGTTTTATTAAACATAGTTACTCTTTCTTCTCTATGTTAATTTATGAGTGTACATTTTTGCTCATGGCTGAAAACAGATAGAAACCTGATGATTTCTGCTTTATCCTGCCATGATGTAGGACAGTGTCTACCATCCTACATCATACCAAAGCATATATCAGCAAGGTTGAGAAAAGCTGCATTTATTTGAATATATCCCTAAGTGGTCAATTTTTTTTTTAAACGTGTTGTTGATGATTTAAAATTTGGCACAGAAAAACTCATCTATTTAAAATGACAGGTAGTTACAGTGATTTTTAAAAATCTTTTCTCTCAATGTAAACTAGTGTGAAAGCAGAGAAAACATTATTGGTGAGTGTACAATTGGAAAAAAACCCTGGAATTATTTTAACACTGCCGTTTCTAACTGTGCTATTTCCCAGACATAAATGAATACTTAGTAGGAGATGCTAATATGTCCTTTTGTTAGTGGGAAATGTATTGAGTTTCAGAAAACTGAGTTCAAAATAGGTTTCCAACTGTTTGTCCATTACCATCTTTTGTCATGTCCCCTTGCTGGTTGCTTTAAACTAATGTTCTTCTACACTTCTCTCCCCTGGTGATGGCTCAAGAACCCACGAGATCAACAGGGGAAATTGATTGCCTGTATGAAATGCTACAACTTATTATGCACTAAATTAAGTGAAAAAACCAACCATAACCCCCTCTGAGTAAATGTAAAAGGAAACATTTTTTTTCTTCATCTCATTCAATGGCAATAATTTTAAATGTCTCATAGCAGCAGTAGCTATAAAGCCTCTATAAAACTGTGTATTTTGAATAACTTCAAAAATGCTAGTAAACTCCATAGGTAAAGCAGAAGGTTCAAGTCTTGCAAAAATAAGACAAATGTAAATATTAAAAGCAGTAGCACAGTAAATTAAAGACATTTAATGGATGAAATTGAAAAAAGAAAGGGAGGAACAGAAAAAATAAAGGAATAGGATGACTACAAAGCCTTTCTTTCCTGTTAAGTGAAAACTGTAATTTACACTTTTTTTTGTAGCGATTCAAACTGCCAAAATAAGGCTGGTTTGCACAAAAGCAGGCATCGCCAGTGCTCAGACGTAAAAGCAAGCTGTCAGGTGCTAGCAGTCTCCTTCGCCAAGGAGAGCCTTGGCTGGCAGGAAGCATGAGGTGAAGCACCTTAGTTCCCGCCTCAGCTACAGAGGCCGAGTCTAACGCGCCGTGTGTCCTATTTGCAGCGTGGTCGTGGGACACACCTGGTTGTTTATTGCAGCTCAGATGACGCGGTAGCAGCTCCTTAAGCTGTAGTAACTTGCTCATTCGCCTGAGTCCTCAACATACAGCTGCAAAGTTTTGCAGAGACATTTTAGGTATTGAGTTGTTGCAAGTGCATTGAAGTTGGCTTGTTCTTTGAATGGCTTTCTTCTTTTCCTAGCTTTACAGAGTACAACGTAAAAGAAGACATTAAAGGGTGCGGTGCAACGAAGCTGAGGTCTAACTTTCTTTTACTGTGTGAATGAAGAAGGAAATCTACATTAAAATCAAACATGGCATCTTAGCTGTTATCAGATATCTGTCTCATAAGAATATGTGCTTGTTTGTGTTTTCAGACAGCTGAAGTGGCACTAGCCAATTTGAAGAATAAATACGAAAATGAAAAAGCAATGGTGACTGAAACCATGACCAAACTACGGAATGAATTAAAGGCTTTGAAGGAAGATGCAGCAACCTTCTCATCCTTGAGAGCAATGTTTGCAACCAGGTAAGGGAAATGGTTTCACCATCTGGCTCAGCACTGTACAAGTAAGTATGTGTATGCTAAGTGAGAACAGACTTAGCTGTGTATGTTGGGTGCTTAGAGTAGAGACAGAAATTATTTTCTGCAAGGTCAGGGGTTTGCTGGATGAAGGTGAATGAGTCTTAAAGTGCACACTGTGCAAAACCTGCAAGCTTTCATGTGCTACTGAGATGCATGTCTTGGAAAATAAAGCTGGAGAATAGCAATGTCAATACACCCTTGAGGAAAGTGTTATAAATGCCAATATCAGCCTCCAGTATATTTGCATTTATAGGGCTTTTTAAAGTGGAAATCAAGTAGTAGATTTATGTGGCTGATTTTCACATTCAGAAGTACGCAGTGATTCTGCCATGTAAAGCTATCGTATGGTTAATGATGGTCTTCAGAATCCCATGTTTTCATTATCATGAGATTTATTACTTACCACTAGTAAAATCTATTTCATCAATCAGCCTATGCTGTAATCCAGAAGTAATAATTGTGAGGCCACTGCAATTTCCCACTCCAGCATTAATTCTTATTTTCTCCTGCTGTAATATCAAATTTATTATCTTCTCCACAGGATAAAAGTTTCACTTATCTTCTGTAATATAGTTCCTCCTGGTAGGACAGTAATTAATCATCTCTTCTTCTACACCTTCTTCGGAAGAGCTTTTGGGTTTAGCTGCTTTTTAAAAGGTTACCTACAAATAATTTTATTTTTTTTTTAACGATCCAACAGCTTCATCAATAAATTAACTCCCAAATAAGCAAGGAACTTAGTATCCTTAGGAAATTCTTCTGTTATATCAGAGTTTCTCCCCCTCCCCTTATGGTCAAACACAAGGCAGATTTCTGGCTTGTGCTTTAGTCCATAAGCAGTAAGCCTTCTTCATGCCTCATGCTAACATCTCTGCGGTATATAGGTGCCATCTCACCTCTTCCAGCCTTCTAAGGTCCTTTGTTGCTCAGTGACAGTCGCAGCAGCAGCCAGGAGAGGTGGGAAGGAAGGAGAAGGGACATTTACATGCCGTGACATTGGTGCTGTGTACAAATTCATCATAGGTTCATCATCAGAAGAGTACGTGTAGTGCCATAATGGAAATGAAGAACCAACTCAGCAGGTGGTGTGAACCAAGATGGCTCCATTGATTTCATTGGCATCTAAAGATTTTCTTCAAGAAAGTGAAGTTGTGTGTGTGTTTTAGAAATGCATATATCGATCTTTATTTGCAAGCTTATTACTCTAGGAGATACATAAGTACACTAACTATAAGACTATCTGGAAGGCTACTAACTCCAGAGGAGAGGAGTGGCATCATGAGCATAAAGCAAACAATGGTCTTGCCCGAAGCATAAATCATCAACCCATGAGGTAAAAGAGGTTTGCAAAGATTTAGAAGTTGTTACTTAAAGGGAATGTTAGGTTATTGGTGTACTGAATGCTCTTTACCCTCTCTGGGCATCCTGAGTGTGCACTTCTGTTGGGTTTAAGGCATATGCTAAAGCTGGTGGGAAATGGCAGCATCTTTTCTGAGGATTAGGCTTAAAGGGTGCCATTCATCTAGAAGCCATTTCTAGATGTCTTGTGTGTAGGATGCAATGAAGCTTATACTTCTCTTCTGTGAAGTATAAAGGGAATCTGGGTGACTGGCCAAGTTACAGATTTCCACTTTGTAAATGTGTAATGTAGGTAGAGATAAACCCCACCCAACGCATCTACCGCTGCTGGTAAACTCCATGCAGTGCTGATTAAACACTCTCTGCATAGCCTGTGGTACGTATCCCTGCCATTGAGGTCATAAGTTCTGCCCAGTATTTTCTGAGCACAGTTATTAAAAATCATTCACTACAAGGTCTTGCACATCAGTGTGCTCCTATAGATTTTTCTGTTGTAAAATATTCCTTTTCCTTCCCTACCCTGGAATCTAATGGCTTTTATAATAATTAAATCAATCTTCCTAAATGTTTAAATGATTGACTTATTCTGAATACTGTATTTGGAATAGCATTTGTTTAAATGACAGAGAGCTGATATACTATAGATGTCTGTTCAGGAAGAGAAATCCGTTTGAAAATACAAGTCTGTAAGATTCTCCATGCAGTAACATTTGATGCAATAGCAACCTTGAGCATAAAAAAGCAATTGTTTAGTCTTCTGTTGAATAAAACAATGGTTTCCATGGTTATCCTGCATCACATGGTGCTTCTGAATTTGTACTGTAGAGAGAACATCCTTCTGATAGTAGAGTTGTATTATAGATCTGAAACTGATTTCATACACTGTTTGATAGAACAGTATCGTTTCATAAACCATCCTTTTCTGTTCATTTGATCCCCAAAGGAATGCTCATTCTGGTGCTGAACTGTATAGTTTCTTCCTCAAATGCACTGGGTAAAGGTCATACCACATTATAAGGAGAGCACAGCATACCTGTTTCTGGTCTCAACAGCAAAGATGACACTTTTCTCCAAAGCTCCCCTATGCAGGAAGCAGGAGCTCTCCTTTTTCTGTGATTTCCCCTGACACTTGTGCATCCTTCTGTTCCTTAAGTTCTTCTCTTCTTGCCCTCAAATGTCCTTCTGTCCTTCCTGTACCTCTACTTTTGCTCTTTTTCCTTCTGTGGCTGTTTCCCAATCCAAAATCTCTGGCTCTGATCTGTACAGATCCTCCTTCCCTCTTCATTAGCCTTGATCCCTTCCTGAATTTACTTCAGACCTGTCAAGAATATGTCCTCAATACAGTTCAAACTCCCTTTTCCCCAAACACCTCTCTCAGAAAAAGAAAGCAACGGAGTATAAAGCCGCCTTTTCTGTGGGATGCATGGTGTTGGCAGAGCAGAGTTGAAGTTCCTGTTTGATGCCAGGGCCATGTGCTGCCCTGCACACGTGCAGCTCCTGTCTTTAACCTGCTTATTTTGTCCTGGGCTGCTCCTGGTAGTCCTAGACCAGAAAAAATGGTGTGAGCCTTTTCTGCCCCTCCTGTCATTTCCCCTCACTCCAACCCTGAGCCACTGACCCAGGGTGGGTGTGTGAAACAGTGAGACCGATGGCCAGCCCTCATCTAGAGGGAAAAAGAAAAATATATTCTCTAAAACATTAGTTTTCCCATCTAGAGTAGGGACTGCCGTGGGAGAGGAAGGGAGGAGAAGCCTAGTGCTGACGGAGAGCAGGAACTACTTTTAAAGCAGAATCATATAGGTATTCAGAAAGCTAATTTTACTGAGTCCTTACACATGCTTGCTTTCCCAATCTAAATAGAGATACTCAGAAAGAGAGAGTAAAAAATATTACTCACGGTATTGCCACAGTCCTGACACTGTATGCACTGGTTTTATTGTCCATCCATCAAGACATTTTCTTATGATTAATATTTGAAGAAAAATGTGTGCTGAAGAGATGGACTAGGAAGTTCAGACAGATCCTGGAGCTATCACAGATTACAAAACATTTATGAGCAGAAGAGAATTATGCTTATATGGCTAGAGTAGGGATCTGTCACTGTCAGTGTCTCTGGGTTTTAGCTCAAGCTCTGCTATGATTTATGTTACCTAAATTACACATAAGCCTGACTAAGTATTTGGTTTGCATTCCTAGACGAGAGGGATGGAAGTAAAAATTCCTTAAACTCCTGTATAATCTTCTTGGATTAGTTCATACTAAATAAGTGGGCTTATGTGTCTGTCTGCTTCCTTTCTGAGACAAGAGAAGTGAAAAACAGGTGAAATCTTGACTTTTGCTCTGGCAATAAGTAGACCATCAAGACAGCAAGATAACAGTGCTGTTTATTTAATAGTCACTTGCAGCATACACCCATCCTGGGGCAAGGGAGGAATTGGGAAACAGTTCTGACTCAGGAGGACATAACCTAACTTTTGGTATTCAGTACTATTTGAGTACTTCTGAATGACCTGTTCAGAGCCCTCGTGCATCCTGGAGCCCTGCTCGGTCTGCACTGCTCTGTGCCGTGCCAGAAGTCATCTGTCTTAGGAGCTCTTAACCTTTTTCTTCCTTGGTATGCTGTGAGACTTCATGAATGTTTATTACATGTGTTGGCAAAAGGCAATATGGATGTGTGTAATGCTTTTTTCTTTTTTAATTTGAACCACTTCTCTTTTTATCCCACACTTGCACATAGCAGGGAGTATTTCAGTGAAGGGAAATGCCATGGCTGCAGGCAGTAGCTACCTCCCACTACATGGAATAACCTTCACTGGTGCGTACTTCAGGGAGATCTGAAGCTGTTAATTCAGCAGTTTCTGAAGTTAATTATGACCTTTACTTGATGGATTTAGGTTTAACCTTTCTGAACACTTTTTCTCAAAAGAAAAAAAAAGCTTGAGCAACAAAACACAGAGACAATGAACCGTGTGTTTGTGAAAAAAAGTAGGAAATTTCTAGTGGAGGTCATATGACTGGAACCACCCAAAGACTGCAGTGAACTGCCAAGAATGCAGAGTTGCTGTTATGGGGAGACTTCTAGGAAGAGCATACAATTAATCAGAACAGTTGGAAAATGTTGTATTAACGAGGTTGTTTTTGTCTCAAGTATGAGGCCAGCTAACAGCATCTAGTATATCCAGGTTTCTAGGGGCAGCTTGCAATCGTTCATAGCAGGTAACGAAAAGCAGTTTTGTCTAAGTCTGCTTTAGTAATACCTACCTTCATGGAGCTTATGTTTCTTAACTGCCCAGTTACGCTGTTCTACAAAGCAGATGCCTACATACCAAGAACATATCTTAAGGCCTGAGGAAAACCAATCTTTTTCCAAAGCCAAAACTGGCTTATTGGCATACTAAAGCAAGGCAGTTCATTCCTCTAATGGCACTGTGCTACAGGTGTTGCTGCAGGTGTTACTTTTAAAAATTTTCAAGAGACAACATATTTGGAAAAAAAAAAGTGTCTTCTAGACAAAGAGGAAGGCAGGAGAGAATGAGAGACATGGATACCATTACAGGAGCTTGACCCTTACAAATTGATGGGCACTGA